GAGGGTTTGGTTCTTTGCTGTAGCACGCCGAAGATGTGAGTTTGACTCCCGTGTAGGGAAGCTTTTAATGGAGCACCTCCGCCTGTCTACTGGGATGTTGTATCGCACTCTTCCCGAGTTGGCCCTGACAGACAGGATCGAAGGAGCCCCCCCCCCCCCCCAAAAAAAAAAAAAAAAAAAACCCGAAAGAAAAAAGAATAAGAATATTTGTAAAAAATGAAATTTAAAAAAATATATAAAGTGTCAATGGGGGTAGTAAAACATTTACAGCATAAGAATATATACGTGTTTAAGACACGGCGAGGTACCAATGTATTGCAACTCTCCTAAAGGAGTATGCCAGTACGGGGTGATCAGGCAATGCAACTTATCACTGCAGCGGTGTAAAAATTAAATGATTTATCTTATTTTGTTTATTTTGTCTGTTTGTCCTACTGTTTCCTTTCACTAATTGACCGTTATTGTGTCGATGTGCTTCTCCGTACTCAATTGTACTCGATCTCACTTGACATGACGCCATGCAGTGTCAAAGTCCCGTTGACGAACTTCTTCAATATTAAAGCACTTCTTGGCCCCACTTCCACTTCGAATTGTCGTATCGCGTGCGCGATGTCAACTCGCTTGGGTAGCTGAAGGGCGCCTTTAATTGGTCCCATTTCTTTTCTTTTCATTTGTGTGTTTTTTCTGTCTGTCTATCACTCTTACTTTTTTAATGCCCGTTGTCGTGCCGATGCCCTTCTCTTTACCCAAATTCGAATGTTAACTCACTGTCCAACTTATGCCTAGCGGTTTGTTAAGCGATGGAGAACTTCACAGTTAGATTCGCATTGGAAGGGGCATTACTTGCATTTATTGATTGTCAGGGCTTCCCCTTTAAATAGATTGTTAACACTTTACGTGAATAGGTGCTTAACGGACCATGTCGAGTCCGCCTCTCCCCAGCATAATGACACATCGTGATGGAAATAGTAGATAGAGCCATAAGTAATTGTATAGAGGTAACGTGGTGTTCTGGTCTGTCCCTCAACAGTGTAATGAAATCGTGGGGAGAGAGGGGGGAATGGGGAGATGGGGTAAGGGAGGGATACATGGGGAGGGAGAGAGAGAGAGAGGGGGGGGAGGGGGCACGTCCGTTAGTTTGTCGGGAGGTATCATGGTATTCTGGTCCTTCAACTTCCCATCGTTATTTTTGATTCATCTTTGCGTGAGATATGTCTCAAGGTATTTGCTCGCATGACGGATGAACAACGAAATTTAACCAGAGACCTTAAGGGTGTACAGGTGGTTGAAGAGTGCCTCTTTTACGACCTACTTCTTCCCTCAGTACTTTCTTATATTGTATTATTTCTGTCTGTCGTTTTGATTTTTTTCACGATCGCTCACTGTCTCTTTATTGGTAACGTTGTCTACAACACGCAGAGAAACGCTCAAAGTCAAGAAATAAACTTATTATGCGTTTATACATGTCGCGGCCGTCTTGTTGCGTCTGTGTTATCGAGCGACCCAGTGTTCCTTTTTCGGAAGGGTTATTTATTTATTTATTTATTTATTTATTTATTTATTTTAATTTTTTTTTATTTTTTTTTGGGGGGGGGGGGGGTGTCAGTGCTACGTGGCAGCTCGCCTCTGTTTTTCTAAATGATGCATATCCCTCGCCAAGTTTATAGTCATCTATAGTGTAGTGGTTATGTTCCAGTTGCACGCAGAAGTGAGTTCGATTCCCGAACAGATGAATTTTTTAATTGAGTGTCTCCGTCTATCTGCCTGGGCGTTATATCGCTCTAAGCCCTGGTTGGCCCTGACATGCATGGTCCAAGAATCCCCACCTGATAAATTATCTAAATGATAAACATTACGAACACATTTTAAAAAAATCTCGGCCATTTTTTTTTTTAGTTGAAAGCCTCTATGTGGTTACTCCTCCTCTTCTTGTTACTCTCCAGTAAGTTAGTAACACATTTGATGTCCGGCACTTAATATGACCCATTTGTGTTGCAAGTGCCGTAAAACTCTTGTTAAATTTAAGGCCTCGGTGACGCTGTAGTATGCACGAAAATGCACCGCTATCGTCGGGTCTGAGGAGATATGGAGTCGGCTTGTGTGTTTGTCGTACTTTTGAGTGGAGAGCACAGCCTGTCTTTGTGGGAGCCGGCGTGGGCGTCCGTCTGTGGTGCGCACTCTGTGGCCTCTTGTGTACACGGGACTAAGAAATGCACGCCTCATTGACATCTAAAAATAATCCGCCGTGTGTAGCGTTATGTTGTGACAGTACACCGTTCTCGTGTGTGGTGCGGGGGACACCCAACCATCGCCTCACACAAAAACGCCTGCTGCAGCAACCGCGGCTTGGGACTTATTGTAGCGAATTTTCCCCGGGTAGTTGCACATTGAGAAGCTAGGAGTTCTTAGCGTCGCGGTGTTAGGGCGCCTCCTGGAGTAAAAGTGCATCTTTTTCTCTTTTTTTGTGGCAAAACGCGACATGTTCCAAATTTTATAATTTTGACATCTAAATATCATTTCAAGCAATGGTAAAGAATGTCATTCGATACCGAAATATTTCCCCTGAAAATGCAATTCCTGTAAACACACACACTGAAAAAAACACCAACCCCCCCCCCCCCCCCCCCAAAAAAAAAAAAAAACCAAACTGACTTCACATGGTAATCAGTGTCTTTGAAATATGAAAAAGCCTAGATTACCCTAAGATACGATGCCAATACGTTTCATACTGCCCCGATACTGTTCACATGTCGAAGTGAGGGAGAAGGTGGTACATGGAGCGGAAGAACATTGAGTGTCTGCCTGATCCGTCTGCTCGGGGACACCGCTTGGAAAATAGACTAGCCTGGACTTCCCCCCGCCCTAGATCTGGGTATCCACATTCACTCTGGTTAGCACACACAAAAGGTGCACTCTTGCAGAACAGCTCTCAATGTCAACTGAACACGTAATACTCAAGCTCTGGTAATAGTATTTATATGTGGCCCTTACATGTGACCACGAGTGTGTTTTGGGATTATATTGCTGACAGGAAGCGAGACTTGAATGGGTGTGGGCGGGGGAGTATGGGGTCGTTTGGAGATTACATTGCTAACAGGGGACGCTAGACTTGGGAATAATTCTGGACGAGAAAAGCAGGGGACGCGGGGCATTGTGGGACATTTCTGCAGAAGTATCAATATAAAATGTAGAGAGTGCAAAAATCAACCGTTCTGGTGTTATTGATGCCCGTATTGCTGGGAAAAGCTAGTCACTCATGTGAATTTCAATGTTTGAAGTAAGCTGTCGTTCTGTAAAATAGTTTTGAAATTGTCTTTTGCTGCGCGTGTTCATGTGCTCCCGCGGCCCGCGTGCGTATTGGCGGGCACACACACACACACGCGCGCGCGCGCGCGCACTGTAGTGTAATGGGTTTCTAATCTAGATCTAGAGCTTGGATGGTATTTTTTCTATTTTATTTAGGGGTGGTACAAATGAAATAGAAAGTATAGTTTAAAAAATGTTTTTGTACGAAACAAACCCATTAAAAAATCTATTGTACCGAAGAAACCCCCCCCCCCCCCCCCCCAATGCTTTGAAACAACGTTAATGGCTGTGAGATAAGAAAGTGGAGAGCCTACTGTGTCTAGCCAGTCTAACATGCACTCAGACTCAAGGTCAACTTGACAGTAAGATAACTGGCCTGATGTAATCAATATGTCGCCTTGCAGTATTTCCTTTACTCTCTAAGTGTCCCCTTGTGATTTCATAAAATGATTTGATTGGGTGGGAGAGTAGTATGATTTGATGGTAATGTCGTGGTAGGGGGTAAGAAAGGAATGTAGGAGTGCTGGTTTTTTTCCCAGGGGAAGGGGGAGGTAAACAGTGATGGATGGTTGGGAGTGAGATAAGGAACAGGGAGGAATAGTGTTTGTATGTTTTTTGGGTTGTTTGTTTGTTGTTGTTTTTTTTTTTGGGGGGGGGGGTAGCTTCAGTTCAAGTTCCTGAGGTTCATAGAAATTTGCAGTTAACTCTCACGCAAGGGATTTGAAGGGGAAAATATCAGTTGCCTACCTGATTTACTCTGTAACTACTACTTTTTTCTTCTTGCTCTTAACTATTTAAGCCCTGAGTTGTTTCCACCATTTCCCTGAGTTTTTTTTTCTGCACACTATGTCTCATATACCCCCAAAAGCTTGCTTCTAACTTCAAAATAGCGAAAACAAAGTCTTACACTTTACTAATAAACTTGGTTGGGGAATAGTTCTGAAAAACAAGCTAAAGCTAACACTAAATAAAATGAAACAGTGGTGACTAGTACTGGACGCTCCCAGTGTCCGATGGGGAAGCGTCTGATGGGGTTCAAAGAGGTAATTCATATCTTGATGTCTTTCAAGCTGATGGTGACATCTGACATTTCTACCTTTAAACCTTCGGACACACCAGTGTTGCTCATTCACCCAATGAAAATAAGGTCAATAATAAAGCACTGAGTAAATGCTTTTATGTGTCTAGAATTTAAACTGAGAGGAAATTAATTTGTCAGTTTCATTGGTAGTGTTTAGTGCACATGCCTTTTGGTCAAACTTTTTATTCAAAAGAAATAAAAAGCTGAAGTTTGGAAAATATGCACTTCTTTTTCTGTGTTATATCAATAGTTAAGGAAGGCCTTTGTGTCTGAACTACATCCATGGGTATGAGGTTTTTACTTACTAGTCCATAATATAGTCATTGTACGCGAGTGTTTTCCAGGTTACCCACAAAGGCAGAGAGTTTTGTGCCAGGATTAACAACAGTGTGTATTACAGTATTTGTTAGGTGCATTAATATACAAATACACAAAAGATCAGCATGATCTTTCTGGTGGGTTATTAGCGTTGCTGAAGTTTAAATAATGTCATTCTTTTTGGTGGGGTTTTTTTTTCAGGGAGAATGGATGTTGTGGACTAAAGAAGGTTATTTGAAATGTAATATCTTTTAGCTGACCCAGGACTTGCATTTTTTTTTCTTGCCCATTCCAGATGAACGTGAGCTAGTCCAGAAAAAGACTTTCCAGAAATGGGTCAACTCTCATCTGATCCGGGTCAACCACAAGATCCAGGACTTGTACGTAGACTTGAGGGATGGACGCATGCTCATCAAGCTGCTGGAAGTGCTGTCAGGAGAAAGGCTGGTGAGTGCAGCATCATTTTGTTTGTGCATTTAAGGCATTGTATTCTGTGCATTTAAGCACGCAGCATTTTATATATATTTTATTTCCAGTCTGGTCTAATTCAGTTATTTCAGATATTTGTACTGGCATGTTAACAGCAAATATTCTTGAAGTAGGCTTATTTGGGGAAAAAAAAAAGATTATTTTTAAAGCCTGAATACAATGTTTTCCTTGGAGAATTTAAATACAACTTGTTTGTGCTTCTTTTTCAAGTGATCCAACCACTTGCTGCCTCTACAGTTTATTTAGTTAAATTAAAGTATAGCCTGCCATTTCAAACTGTTTGACTGCAGGTGTTTAGAGGGTGTTTTCCTCTTTTTTTTCCCTGTGTCGTAATGACACACTCACTCACTCACACATACGCACATGCATACACAGACGCACTCACTCACTTACCGTAGGACTAATATGGATCATCAACCTCAGATTCCAAATTCAGCTAGATAGCAGAATTTTTATTTTGATAGTTTTCTAACTTTTTTTGCTTTTGAGTGCTAGAAGCGTAAAAATGCCCTCAAGAAAAAAACCAAACAAAAAATCCCATAATTTGTGAATATTTTCAAACCAGTCAAGTTTGTTTCTCTAAAATGCATGTTAAATACTTCTGTTTCGGGAGGCAAGACATTATGGGTTAAGTCCTGATGTTTTTTGTTTTATATATTTGTGACAGCCTTGCCTCAATGAATGTTTGCATGTTGTGTGTGTGTATTTCTTTGCGTGTGACAGACTGTCGTAAAAAATATCTTTTGTTTCTGTGTGTAACGACTTTGTCCCAGTAACATTCAGCTGTATGTATGTGTGTGTGTGTGTGTTGGTGAGAGAGGGGGACAGAGAGACAGCCTCATTAAATAAACAACTTCTTCTGTGTGTGTTTGTGCCAGCCTCGTCCCACCAAAGGCAAGATGAGGATCCACTGCCTGGAGAATGTGGACAAGGCCTTGACCTTCCTGCACGAGCAGCGCGTGCACCTGGAGAACATGGGAGCTCACGACATTGTGGACGGCAGCTCTCGCCTCACTCTGGGTCTTATCTGGACCATCATCCTCAGATTCCAAGTGAGTACAAGCTTCTCAGAGTACAGACGAAAGTGCATGCATATACACCCCCCCCCCACACACACACACACAAACACACAGAGAGACACACACAAACACACAGAGAGACACACACAAACACACAGAGAGACACAGACACATACACACATACGCACACACACACACACAGAGACACACAAACACACACACAGAGACACACAGACACACTCACTCTCACATACACTCTCTCTTTTGCACACATGCAAACACACACAAATTCTCATGCACATGCACACACTTACTCACATGTACACACACAACTCATATGGACCATCATCCTGATTCCAAATGAGAAACAAATGTTGGAGAATTGCACAGACTCTCATCCTCAAACACAGACTAGCGACACACCCATGTCCTGAGTCCTGACACACAAACAAACAGGACAGCGGCTGATTTGATTCTTGACTTCTGTTATTTTATGCCTTTTGAAAGAACTGTGTGAATGTTACTGTGTATTTGATAAAGGTTTCGTCACCAATAGCTGATGGCAACCCCTGATTTTTTTCAATTAAAAAAAAATTGTTTTAAAATAATAAATGAAAATGAGATTATTGGCAGTGTTTCATTTTGAGATGTCTTGAATTTTTACCAGTTGTGTATGTCTCGCTAGATGGCACACCTGCTGTTTCTTATATTTTTCATACTGATGTCAAAGATAAAAAGACTGGTTGACCCCTGATAGTTTTACTCTATTAACATTGAAAACGAAGAGTATGGGTTTAGTGCTCTCAGACATGTAAAGTGAGAATGTCTGACACATTTCGTTTTAGAGACCATTCAGATAAACTTTAGTCAGCTATATTTTTTGCAAACTGGTTTGCTTTTTGTACCATTTTTTTCTGATGGACAATCTTCTTTAAAACTTTGTATTAGATCCAAGACATTACCATTGAGGAAGTGGATAACAATGAGACCAAGTCTGCCAAGGATGCGTTGTTGCTGTGGTGTCAGATGAAGACTGCGGGATACCCCAATGTAAACGTGCGAAACTTCACCTCCAGTTGGAGGGACGGGCTGGCCTTCAATGCTCTCATCCACAAGCACAGGTAGGTGGAAAAAAAAGAAAATTATTTATGGGAAAAAAAGTCCCCGAAGCGCAGGTTGATGTATAAAATCTGAGCTTTTGTTGTTGTAAAACTGTTTTAAAAGCATATATCGTCTGCAATTTCAAAAAGCAAAATTTCTCAGGCGAGAAAAAAATGATGTATTCTTTTAGCAATTGTCCCTAAATTATGTGTTTTTTCTTGCTTTTTTCATAGTTAACAATTTGAAGTTCAACCAAATATTTTTTGACTACATGCGACTGATTGATACCACAGATTAGGTAACTGCAATTTTTTAAAAATTATGTTAAAAATTTTTGGCTGACTACTTTTAAAAAACTGGCCGACGATATGTTGGTTGGAAGGAAATGAAAATTTGTTGTTTTTTTAAAATGGGTGTTAAAATGCAACAAAAAAAGCTCGCATTTGGGAAACTTTAAAGTGTCAGGTTTATGGAGACAAGAGTGTATATCTTTGTTTGGTCCATCAATACAAAAATTATGTTCACAAGCTCTTTGGGCTGAATATAGAATACAATATTCATGACCTACAGATTGGGGTTTGCACTCGTTTTACTTCTCGGTATAGCTCAGCATAAAATCCCCCTACACTATCATCTCCTTTCCCCCTACCCTATCCCCCCCCCACAAACACACACTGACACACACTCACACTCACACACACACACACACACACACACACACACACACACACACACACACACACCAGCACCCTCCCACAGAATCCAGAATCGTAGATCTTTGTTGAGATCATACATAATTGATTTGTTGGACAGTATGTTATTGTGTTATTTTGAGATTCTGTTGTTTTTGTATCCAATGTCCGGTTTGATGACACACACGCGCACGCACACACACACACACACACACACACTCTCTCTCTCTCTCTCTCTTTCTCTCTCCATCCCTCTCTCTCTCTCTCTCTCTCCCTCCTCTCTCTCTCTCTCTCTCCCCCTGCTTCCATGTGCTGGCTTTGTTCCAACAAGTAAGGGGGGTGGGGAGAGGGGGGTGGGGGGATGTGGATGCCTCTTCTAGCGCTCTCCAAAACTTGTCTGATTCACTATATTTTGGGTTTGGTTTATGGTGGTTTTGGAACTTTCATGATATAGATTTTACTTATGGCATACAAATGAGGCACAATAGATATCCTGTAGGGGATAATTTGCCTTGTGGTTTTATGCACTGGCATGAGTCAGGAGGCAAGAGTTAAGGAAGGAAATATTGCATGGTGCTGTATTGATTAGGCCCACACAGTATTGATCTCTTTCTGCTATAATGAATGGGATAGCAGTGCTGTTCTTGTTTTTTCATTTTTTTTCTGTGGGGGGGAATAAAAAGGGGGGGGGGGTCACGGTAAATGGACCCATTGTTTGCATTCATGGCTGTCTGAACACAGGCCTGTTGGGCTGGACTTAATATATGTTTAATTTTGTCTTGGTATATCCCTTGACATTTGTATTCTGATGTATCTTTATCTAATGAGGGGTTGAAATAAGCCCTTTTCTCCCTTTGCTCAAAACTGACACCACAATGTGATGAAGTGTTTAAAATATTAATGCTGGGGGGTGCTATTCCGTATGTTTTTTTTGGGTTTTTTTCACTCTTCTTTTTTTTAAGGGATCATTTTACTTGTGAATGAGTGTGCATATGTGTAAGTCGCCTCATACACAGATCTTGTATGTCACCTCATACACAAATTATGCATGTGGATAAAGAACATTTTCAATATTTTGATACTATGATTTGTGCCCTAATGTACAAACATACAAAAGAGCAGCCTGATCATTCTGTGTCCAGCTTAAATTTATATGTTTGCCCTTTTTGTTGTTGTTGGAGGCAGCTAAATGGGTGTATTGGGTAAACTTCCCCCAACTTGTACGTTTTATTTCAATGATGATCAATTACAATATGTTACCTTGTGGCCGTGTGGGGGGCTGGAGGGTACCACGGGTGGGTCTGTTTTTATCCCCTCTGTTGTTTGCCTGTCTTGGTTTTTCCATGCACTAAACAGCTTTTATTGAGTTGATGTGCTTCTCTTTATTCAAAAGATAAAAAAAACCTCCTGGTAGTGTCCAGGAGGCTAGTACATGACAAATTATATTTGTAAAAAGAATCTGAATGACCAATATGTTTTCCCTTCAGGAGTAGTTTGCTGGCTTGCCCCACTGGGAAGCTCTGTTTCTTTTCTTGAAGTCTTGTGTTCCAGTCTTTGTATCGTAAATTCTCCCTTTACTACAATTTAGTTTCCCTGTTTGTGTCAGTGCGTGATCTCTATACGCAAACAATCCAAAGTACCTTTTTAATGGAAGTGTTAAAAAAGGCTTGTTCAAGACAAAATTATTGTGGTAAAAAAACTTAACTGACAATGATGTGCTATTATCCTTTCAGGCCAGATCTGATCCAGTATGAGAAGCTGCAAAAGTCCAACGCCATGCACAACCTGAACAACGCCTTCACCACGGCCGAGGACAAGCTGGGACTGACCAGTCTGCTGGATCCTGAGGGTAGGTCCAAGAGGGGGAAGACCCTTTTTTTCTTCTTGTTTCTTGTTTGGATATGGGCAGTTAAAGGGCGCTGCCTGAGAGGTCCCATTCTTTCTGTGTGTCTATCTTGCATTTTCTCTAGCATGAACATTGAAATGACAATTTGATGTCAATGTGCTTCTCTTTACTCAAGCAAAGAAGCATACTATTGGGTAACCCTGATCTTTGGTCTAAAGTTATGTTGTTGTTCTTGTGACTTTATTGTCTCGTTTGTGGAGGGAACTGTGAAATGCATATTTTCTCTTATTGCAAGCACAGATTCATCCGCAAGCACAGATTAGCTGCACACCCATGTCCGGATACACAAACACACACAGGACAGCAGCTATTGTGATTCTTGACTTCTGTAATTTATCATTTAAATTTTATGCCTTTTGTTTGAAGGGTATGAATGTTAGTGTGCTTTCTTTACTTTCCATGGGTGGTTGGCGGGTGCTCTGGTGTGGTTTGCTTCTTCTTTCCTATCTATTATCTTTATCTCCCCTCCTTCTTTTTTGTTTGTTACTCTCTTGTAACACCTCTAATCTTCGGCACTTATAAGACCTTATTGTGTTGCAAGTGCCATAAAACACTTACTAAAACAAAAACTTCTTTACTTTCCCTCTGTTGTTTCTGTCTGTTTGTCTTACTTTTTTCCCAGCACTAAATGACCATTTTTGTGTCGATGTGCTTCTCTTTACTCAAATTCAAACAATCTTATTGCAGTGTATATTTGTTTTATTTTTTCATTACCGATTGATAATTAGAATAGAACGGATCATTACATTCTATATTTTGTACGTTTCCAGATGTGAATGTGGAGTTCCCAGATGAAAAGTCCATCATCACCTATGTGGTCACATACTACCATTACTTCTCCAAGATGAAGGCTGACTCCGTGCAAGGAAAACGTATCGGAAAGGTCAGCTTTTGTTGTTGTCAGAAGCTATACAAAATTTACATCTTTGGACAACAGCTTCTTTTTGAAAAACAATTCTGTTTCAATGTTAAGGCTTTCATGTTATAACTCTTATCAGGTTTAGAATAATTCACTGCAGTTTTATTTGTTGGTCTTACCATCTGTAAATTGACTTATCTACTCTGGAACTAATTTAAGGCAAACAGATTTCATTGCTTTGTGTCCTGTATGTGTACAAACCGTAGATGGTCAGAGTACCCTACTGATAGGTTTTACTTGTTTTTTTTCCATCTGTTGTTTCTGTGTGTCTGTCATCCTTTTTTCAAGTGCTAAATCACCACTGTTGTGTTGATAGTCTTCCTCTTTACTCAAACTAACAAACAATCTCTGGTACCCACAGGTCATTGACAATGCCATCAACACAGAGAGCATGATCAACCAGTATGAGAGCATGACCTCCGACCTCCTGGAATGGATCGAGCAGACCATCGTCATCCTGAATGACCGCCAGTTTGCCAACTCCTTGACCGGGGTACAGCAGCAGCTGGCAGCCTTCAGCACCTACCGCATCGTGGAGAAACCACCCAAGTGAGTCACTGCTTCTCACGGGACAGAACATTGTTCAGTTCCGTGCCAGTTGTTCTGTGAAGTCTGCAGTTGTACTAACAATAAAATTGGCGTCTGTGGTGTAGAAGCAAGTTCTTTACAGTTGCACTCAGAAGTTATGAGTTTTGCGAGTGTGGAAGTTTATAATTTGATATAGAGTATCCCTGTCTGTCTGCTAGGTTGTTGTTTCCCACTCAGCCTGGGTTGGCTTTGACAGGTAGAGTCAAAGCAACTTATCCTAAATGATACAACTTGTGACTGTGTCAATGGAAGCATGAAGGATTTTGTTGCTTTTTGCATTTCTGTGGAGGAAAGTGCAAGCCATGTGTATTTGTCCTTCAAGAGAAATCATTTCATATGACTGACAAGGCTGGTAGTTGGAGGGCACCACTGGTGGGTTTTTCTTCTTTTCTTTCCCTCTGTGTTTCTTTTCCCCTGCACTGAATAACTTATTGTGTCAATGCGCTTCTCTCTTTTCTCAAACAAGTGGCTGATGAGAGGTCTTATCAAGAACACTACTTCTGTTTTTGAAGAATAACATACTTGTGTTTTTGAAGCAACTTGTTGTGGGTTTTTTTCAATAACAACCTGTTTGTTTTTGTCCAGATTTGACGAGAAAGGCAACCTGGAGATCTTGCTGTTCACCATCCAGAGCAAGATGCGCGCCAACAACCAGCGTCCGTACCTGCCAAAGGAAGGCAAGCTGCTGTCGGACATCAACAAGGCTTGGGAGCGTCTGGACAAGGCAGAGCACGAGAGAGAGCTGTCTCTCAGGGAGGAACTCATCAGGTCAGATATACAAGTTCAATATTGTTTTTGTCCCAATTTCTCAATTTTTCGTTATATTGAGCCCATGAATCCTGGACAATTGTTTAAAAAAGTAAAAATAGACTACTGGCAACAGAAATGTAGTTTCTAAGGAGACTGTTGTGAAGTTCATGATAAGAAATCAAAAAGATGGTACGGGAAAAAGCCCACATGGGCTGCTGACTATTAGAACCATTGGGCAGAGAGAAATGCAGCTCAAAGGATACATAAAGACCTTGAACACCTTGCTTTAACTGCAAAAATACAGTCTCATGAGTACTTCAGAGGGTTTTCTGTTTTGTGTTTTGAGTAAAAAAATGCCTATACCCCTGTAATACTGTCGAATCTGCCCTTACAGCCACATATCTAAGTCAGTTACTTGTACAAATGATTACTTTTCACCTTCCTTCTTACTTTTTTTCAATATCTTAATTTATGACTCTGTCCAAGATATCTACCTGTTGAAGATTACCACTTTTCTCCTCGACTTTGGGTGGCTTTTTGGACTATTTCAGCTGTATTTTATTCTTTATGTGTTTTTCTCATTGTTATTGTTACTTTACAATTGTAACTCCTGAAGCTTTTAGTGTTTGAAATATGTTTAAGCTAACCAGCATGTCCCCCCCTCCTGGTCCTCAGACAAGAGAAGCTGGAGCAGCTTGCGGCTCGGTTCGGACGTAAGGCAGGCATGCGTGAGGAGTGGCTGAGTGAGAACCAGCGACTGGTGGCACAGGACAATTTCGGCAATGACTTGGCAGCTGTGGAGGCAGCCACCAAGAAACACGAAGCTATCGAGACAGACATCAATGCTTATGAGGAGCGTGTCTCTGCAGTAGTGGCCGTGGCGAGCGAGCTGGAGCAGGAGAACTACCATGACATAGACCGCATCAATGCCCGGTGAGTTTGCACACGCCTGTAGCTCTAACAGTGTTTGCTTCCCATGTTGGCAACCAGCATGGGAAGTTGTGGTAAACTACCGGCATGGAGAATTTGTAATATCAAGTTTGAAATTTAGCGTAAAACTTAAAATATGAAGTAAAGTTTGAAATATTAAGTAGAGTTTGAGACTCAAAGTTTGAAATTAAAAGTAAAGTTGTGTTACCTTTGGTACAAAGAGCAGTCATTCGTTCATTGACGTCTCCCTGTCTTGGCATTTTTCTGTCGGTAATATTTGAATACAGCTCGCAAGGCCCCTATCCCTATTCAAATTGTTTGACATAGTTCACAACATCCAGGGTCACTGCAGGGGTCACAGTCACAGTGGGTTTCAGCTATATCTTATAGGCACTGGAAGCAGTGGGCTGATCATGATCATCATGATGCGCAAAGACATGGAGGTTTGTGCTTTACTTTTACCTTCCTGTCTCCCCAGTCGTGACAACGTGCTGCGTCTGTGGAACTACCTGCTAGAGCTGCTACAGGCCCGGCGCATGCGTCTGGAGCTTACCCTCAGCCTCTACAAGGTCTTCAAAGAGATGCTCTACATCCTGGACTGGATGGAAGAGATCAAGGTGAATAACTTGGTGGTCGTAATCCTCAGTGTTTACATTACGTTAAAGTGCAATTCCTCGTACTCTTAGATGGACACAAGGGCCTTTTATACGTTTGTAGAATACTCAGTATTTAAATTACGTTAAAACGCAGTTCAGAGTATACTTGAATTAACATAAACGCCATGAACATCTTGCTCTCAGTTTTAAAAATTGAAGGCAAAATTGGCAGATGTAGACCAAGAATAATTTACTTTGAGAACTTAAACAGAAGGGTGACAAGAGACCAGGTTAATACAAATTTGTTTAAAACATCCAAGTATAGAAATGAGAGGCAAACTGTGATTGATGATGCATTTCAGACCTGGCACTTGAAACAGCAAGAAGAAAGTGACTGTTTATAGTCATGTGTTGTTTCTGAATGAAGTTTCACACATCCTGTCAATAATGTGTAAGGTTCATTTGACACTCCCAATACAATGTGGTGTGAAGACGAGTGTATGACAATCATTTTAATAAGACTAACCTGAAGAAGGGGACTGTTGGAGGGCACCACTGCCAGGTCCTTCTTCTTTTCTTTCCCTCTGTTGTTTCTGTCAGTCTCACTTTTCTCTTGCTTTGAATGACATATCGTGTCGATGTACCTCTGCCTGCTCAAACAAACAATGGTTTCCTTAGGGCAAAAATTTGAATGAATGAAACTTAGAGAAATGTTCTTGCTCTCATGCAATGTATTAAATTTATATCTTGTGATCCTCTAGGCCCGCCTGTTGTCAGAGGATTATGGCAAGCACCTGATGGGTGTGGAAGATCTACTGCAGAAACACAGTCTTCTAGAGGCAGATGTCAACGTGGTCGGGGAGAGAGTTTCCACTGTCAATGGGCAAGCACAACGCTTCATTGATGATGACTTTTCGGAAATTGGAGGTAAGTTTTTGCAGTCTGAACTGTGTGCTTTAACTCTTGGTCTTCTTTGCACCTGTCATACAAATACTTTCTTTCTTACCTGTCCTTCTTTTGCGGGTGATTGCTGGGGTTAACAGGTATGGCCAGCTTCTTTTCTTACCCTCCATTGTTCCTTTTCCCCCAACATAGAGTCGATATGCATTTCTTTACTCAAACAAATCATTGTGTAAATGTGCTTCTTTTCTGGAAAATGTTCCCATTTCATGTGTATTACAATTTGTGTCTCTTTTGATATTTTGATTCTCATTTCTTTGTCCTTTCAGTCAAGCGAACAAATGAACTCTTTATGGAGCTAGTGCCTATCATGTGATGCTGTGACCTTGAAATGGATTACCAATATGGTTTTTTTTTCTTATGAGGTGGTTTATATCGCGTTCCTCTTTTCTTTGTTCAATTTATTTGTCTATCTGTCGTTTCTGTCCGTCCATCTTGCCTTTTTTCCGCTGCACTATTATGTTGATGGGCTTCTAATGACTCAAACTATTCTTCATCATCATCCAGGCTACCGACCATGCAACCCAGAGATGATCCAGGAGCGCATGAACATGCTGGACAGCGCATATGAGGAGCTGCGTCAGCTGGCTGCCGACCGCCGCAGACGTCTGGAGGAGTCTCGCAAACTCTGGCAGTTCTACTGGGACATGGCCGACGAAGAGGGCTGGATCAGAGAGAAAGAGCAGCTCATGTCATCCCCTGACCTGGGTCATGACCTCACCAGTGTCAACCTGTTACTCAGCAAACACAAGGTACAAATAAGATGGGATAAAATATTTCCCGGGTCTTAACACCAGTGCCTTTGTCATTTATTTTTTTTAGCTTTCTTGTTATTAGTTTCGTTTAAAAAAACCAAAAATCACCTTTTACTTGTATTGTACCCCCGATACGACAGGATTTTATGTTGAATGTTAAAAGTCCAATTTTTAAAACTTTGCTCCGGTCGTTGTTGCTCTAGTCATAAGGTTGAATTAGATGGCACTGTTTTTACAGTTTTCTCAGTTACAAAAAAAAGACTTTAGTTTCCATAATGGCTGTATGATTTGCTTCATTAGTTGGTATTCCATTCAAAGTGTATGTATTAGCTAGCTATATATTTTTTAACCTCCCTAATGATCTTTTAAATTTTTTTTATTGAACTGTAGTAATTGCATATCAAGAAAATGGACTGAGTTTCAGTTAAACATAAGGGTCATAAATTTCATTTATTATAAATTGATTAATGAAAAGTGCCTTTTTTAAAAATGATTATTTTGACAATTTTTAGATTTGTGCTCACATAAGGTGGTGTTTTTAAGGGTTCATTAAGGTTTTCTTTATTTAAAAAAAGATCGTTTACATATGTGCAAACACGTTCACATGGGTTTTTGAACTCTGTTCCTCCAGGCTATGGAAGATGAGATGACGGCCCGTCACAGCCACTTGCAGGAGGTTCAAACTTCAAGCAACGAGCTCATTGAGGCCGGCAACTTTGGTGCTGACCAGATCGAACAGAGAAACAACGAGATTTCTTCCCAATGGGAGAGTCTCATTGACCTGGCCACGTACCGCAAAAAGAGACTCAATGAAGCCGTGGACTTCTACCAAGTGAGACAGCTACTGTTTTCTTGACTATTTTACGAGAAGCTTTTAACCTCAGCTTGTTCTATGCTCCCTTAAAATTTGGTGAAACTGTATAATGCCATTATTTGTATGAAAGTTTAAAAACTTCATATCAAGCACACATTTGTTCATTCATATTTTCTTTGTACTTTCTTTTTTTACTCTCTCTCTCTCTCTCTCTCTGGGTAATTTCAGAGAATCTGACTTCTCGTTATGTTCAAGGTAAAAAAAAAAGTAAAGCTTGCTATAGTGATTTATTGCTGTATTGGCCTTGAGATGCCAAAATTTTAAAAACAAAGCAACAGTATGATTAAGTTACATATTGTACCGAATTGTACAGCTTTTAACCATACATCTTTTTTATTAAAAACATTTTTTTAAACGAGAAGTTAAGTCTAAAAGGATGCTAATATTGCAAATTATAATATAAGCAAACATTTTCATTGACAATTTCTTCAGGACAATGGTATTGACACTTAAGGAAGTTAAGTTTTCATTGGTCAAAGCTTGAATCCGAAGATCTGAACATATTGTGTTGTGTCCCCAGTTTTTCGCTGATGCTGATGACGTGGACACGTGGTTGATGGACACCCTCAGACTCGTTTCCAGCGAGGACGTGGGCAAGGACGAGGCCAGCGTTCAGTCTCTGCTCAAGAAACACAAGGTAAAAAATGGAACAAATTCGTACTCAGTGCTGCTGTGCTTGTGCTTATTGAGGAAAATTTCCTAGAAATTGTTTCTTTTGGGATTTGGAAAGTTTGGACTTTCAAGAATCTTGGAGAAAATGTTTGTTAAAAGATCGGTTTATAAAAAATTATTGTCTGTTTTTTAATGCATAGTTCATGAATACACTTTTTAAAAAATTATCTTGTTAAATTCGTGGTATGCTCCCAATCATTCAGATGATTTAGCTCTGCAGTCTTATTGTGGACCCCTTTCTTCCTTTAGTAAATGAGAAAAAAATATTCGGTAAATATGACAATGGAAGTGCTGTCACTGTGCAAATAAAAAGGATATTATGAATGGTTTGCTTTGTTCTTGTTATTGGGTGGGGGAGGGGGGTTGCCACTAGTAAGTTCTACTTCTTTTTATTCCCACCATTATTTATGGTATTCCTACTTTTTGTCTACACCAAATAACTAATGTGTCAATGCTTTTCTCTTTACTAATTATAAATTGCTGTTGTCTTGTACAGGAAGTTACAGAAGAACTCAAGAGCTACCAGAGTGTGATAGAAGCACTGCATGAGCAAGCGGCCAACCTGGGAGAACAGGTATGATAGTGATGTAAAGGGAATTCATGGGAAATTTCTTTGTTATGTCCTACAGTTTGTGATATTAAAATTTGGTCTGTCAGTGTCTATACACTGAGAAAAAGTCATTGTATTCTGTTGCACAGCCCAGGTTGAATGTGCACAAGTTACCAAGCTCTAGTAACAAAAGATGTTCCTGGTAAATGTCAATACCTAAATAAGCACATTCGGACCTGTGCAACCATACGCACATATACGTGCGCGCGCGCACACACACACACACACACACACACACACACACACACACACACACACACACACACACACACTCTTGTGTGTTGTCCTAATACTCTGGCATTTTCTTTAAAAGGCTATCTTTTTGGATCATTTTGTGTTGTGTGAATATAAACGTTCTCCGTGGTATGTTCCTTTACTGTTATCACTGTTTGTCCCTCCTCAGGATCGTGAGTCACCAGATGTACAGAGCCGTCTGACCTCCATCGATCGCCGCTACCAAGAACTCTTGGAATTCTCCAAATTGCGTAAACAGAGACTCATTGATGCACTTTCGCTTTACAAACTTTTCAATGAGTCCGATGGCGTGGAGACCTGGATTGATGAGAAGGTTTGTTGTGGTTTTCACTCGAAGGAAGCTCTATGATGGGGAATATTTGTGGTAATAATCACTCAGGATTTCTTTCCTTTTTTTTTGAGATAGTGACCCTAGTAGGTTTATTTGACAAATTCTGTTACTCTAGCGAAGATGTACTGAGCCATTTGTCTGTTTCTCAGCTCGATTCCCTCCAACTTTTAACCTGTGATTTTATAGATTATTGTTCAATAGCTTTCTGCTTATTGGTTTTCCTTGACCTTTCCTCACCCACTCTTATTATTTATCAAAATCATATTCTGTGAACTTATGTTTCTTCTACTTTTTGGTTTGTACTGATAGTAAGTGCAAGAGCAAAGCGATGATGGCAGGTATTTCAAAGACTGTGTGACAAAAAGTTTTGATATTGTCTGTTTTCAGGAGAAATTCCTGACCACCATCATCGTGACGGACGATGTGGAAGAGCTTGCCATCATGAAGCACCGTTTCGACAGTTTCGAGCATGAGATGAACGCGACAGCCTCCAAGGTGGCCGTCGTCAATCAACTTGCACGACAGCTCATGCAGGCAGAGCATCCCAACGCCGAAGAGGTGGTAGAGCGGCAGAACCAACTCAATGCCACGTGAGTGGTTGTTTTTTAACCGTTCATCCACCTACATGTAAATTTTTGTAGTCTCGAGTATTCTTAATTCAATGGAGTGGTACTGCATAAACATATTGGGCAGTCTAGATTAGGGTTGGTGATGTGTCATACATTAATGTGGTGAACATTATTACACACTAGTTGAATGAAATGTGGGGTCCAAATTGTGTGACACAGAGTGCTTGCTGGCTGGTTTTAGGTGCGACTTCATCAAGTTACTATTTTATTATATCTGTTGTAGACATTGTTACCAAGCACGGTGTAGTCTGGTGATGGGGAGTGGCTGACACTGTATCACTTACACCATGAAGGTTCTAATACTTTCTACAGAAATATTTTGTAATAAAGTGTGTTTGATTTCAGCTGTTGCAGCTGATCTTTTTTTCGAAAAGAAATTCAAATCTTGTGAAAATAAGCAGCCTTTATGATGCTATCACTTTGAAAAACTGTTGTATGGGTAGTGTGAAGTCAATAATTTGTTACTGCTATGTTGTTGTGAGGTTGTTGGTTGGTTTTTTAATTTTTAATTTAAAAAAACATTTTTTTTTTGGGGGGGGGTTTAAGTAATGTTTTTAAAGTGGGTAGAGGGGGAGGGGGGGTTTCCTTTAATGTCATGTGCTTGCAGTGAGTATTCATTACCTTCAGTTAAATAAGAAACCCAAGATTTTGATGAGCCCTGGGGCTGTCCTAACTGTTTTGTGCTTTGTGTGTACCACAGCTGGAACAACCTGAGAGAAATGGTTGACCATAAGAGAGACGACATCAATGTTGCACACGGCTTCCAGAACTTCAACATCGAGTGCAATGAAACAATTGTAAGTCTTTCTTTATGTCACCTTTTTGTAACATCTCGTGAAGAACTGACATGATGTATTGTAATAGTGGAAGATGTAATGATAATAAGCCTTTGGCAGGAATGAGACTATATTTATTTTACCATTACATTACTTGTACAATTTGACTCAAGTTTTGAGTCCCCCTACTGTGTTCATTTCACTTGGTTTCACAGTGCTAAAATTTCTTTAAATTACTAATAATGTGTTAATATGCTGGTAATACGATTCACAGATGTTAGAAGCAGAATTTATATTCCATTTCTTACAATTAATATTTTATTTTGTTTTGCAGGGCTGGATCCATGAGAAGGCCAAACTGATTGAGTCTACCGATGAGCTGGGCAATGACTTGAGTGGAGTGATGACTCTACAGCGCAGACTGAGCACTATGGAAAGAGATCTGGCTGCTATTCAAGCCAAAGTACGTTGTTCTGGTCGTCTGTGCTGTGTGGCTTTGTGCTTGGGAGTGTCGTAGTTAACCTATCATTTGCAGAGTGTCTTCACTTGTTTCTGTTTGTCTGTCTGTCTACTTTTTCCCCAGCACAATATGACCATTATTGTGACAATGTGCTACTCTTTACTCAGAAGAACAAATAAAGAGCTAATACTCCACCCACCATCCATAAAAGATGCTTTTTGGGGATTTAAAAAAAAATTAAAATGTAGTTATTTTTTACAAAGATAGATGCAGACATTTTATGTAGGCTTGTAAAGGTAAAACTGCACAGTCATATTTTTCCCATGTTTTTCGCAAGGGCTATCATCTGTTTGGAAAAAAAAATGATGTGAAGTGGGTCATATATTTTGCTAGTAGTGGTTTTGTTTTGATAAGTAGTTTTATTTGATGAATTCTGTTCCTCTAGGGAAGATTTACTGAACTATTTTTTTTTTTTTTCAGCTCGAGTCCCTCCAAGGTGAGGCCGAGAGGTTGGAAGAACAGAAACCAGAAGAGGCGGAGGCCATCAAGGAGAAGATTGCAGAAATCAACAATGTCTGGATGGATCTGAAGGATATGGTAAATAATATCTTTGCTGGCTCTCTCCCTACCTCTCTCCTTTCCCTCCCCCTCCACTCACTCTCTCTCTCTCTCTCTCTCTCTCTCTCTCTCTCTCTCTCTCTCTCTCTCTCTCTCTCTCTCTCTCTCTCTCTCTCTTCTCTCTTTCTATTTCTTTCTCTTCTCTCTCTCTCTCACTCTCTCCCTTTCTCCCACCCTCCCAACATTCATTAAATAGTAGAAGTAAACACATTCTTTGTTCCGTGTTAGGCACATGGATGCTGTTACCAAAAAAAATTTGCCTGTTTATAGTGATAGGCACGTTTTTTTCATGGAGAGAATAGTTGACAGCCATGGTTGACTGATCTGCCACCCCTCTGCTAGCCACAGGATGACTGGTCACAAAAGTGTTAAGATCAATTCTTTGGGGACTCTTGAGTACAAATATGAGATTGGTGTGGCTTGTCATTTTGCTATATATTGCACACCCGAGAGAGAGAGAGAGAGAGGGAGAGAGAGAGAGAGAAAAAAATATTGGCTGTACGGCAGTGTCATAATTGGATTGTTCAGACATCTTATGCTATGAAGAAGTTGATAAAGTCTTGTTAACTCTAGTTATCAATTTTTTGTTTCCAAAATTGTAAAAGTGTATTATTATTTAGTCATTTATGTCTGTATGTATCTAGCATTCATTTTCTACTCAGCCAGTCTGAATAATAGTTACGTAGTTAGAGCATAACACCATGTTTTGTGAGTTGTCAAAACTACATAGTTATGTTGTCATTGTGTCTTGATCAGCTGAAAGAAAGAGATGAGAAGCTGGGAGAGGCCGGAGAGCTCCAGCGCTTCCTGGGCAGTCTTGACCACTTCCAGTCGTGGCTGTCACGCACACAGATGACCGTGGCTTCGGAGGATATCCCCAACTCTCTGGCCGACGCGGAGAAACTGCTGAACCAGCACCAGCAGCTGCGGGATGAGATTGACACCTACGCTCCCGAGTATGCTAAGATTAAAGAGTTTGGTGACAAGGTGACAGAAGGAGAGGAAGACCCACAGTACATGTTCCTCAGACAGGTACACATTCTTGTTTCTATAGAAAGATGCTTGCTTTTTTTTAAATTTGTAAGATTTTACTCAGTTTTCTTCTTGCGTGTTCATGCGGCAAGGTCTTCTCACTTCTCACTTGAAGTCAAAAGAGATGACTGGTTTGATCCCTTTTGTGTGTCTGTTCTAAGACTATAATACCACTGTCTAGCGAACATGATGTTTTTCTCCATTTTGTTCCTTGTAGAAGTAAAAATATTGATGTGCAGATCATTTTGAATTGTAATATAAAAAAACAAATTGTATAGATGTGTTTTGTGCCTGGTAGGCCTGCATTACTGGCATGCCATGCACCCGTTATAAAGACAGTATGAGTAAAAGTTTTAAATGTATTTGTATAATTGTTAATATTGTTAACTTAATCCAAAACCTCAGTACCCTTAAATGTTTTAAATGTGTTGTGTTTTGTAGTCCTATTAAAAACTTTGTGCCCTTACAAGTTTTGAATGTTTGTTTGATTTTTATAATTGTAAAATTAAGCATAAGTCCAACTACTCCCTGCTACGTGCCATTGATAATTAAGTCATGTGTCATATTCTGTGTCATGCCAACAGAGACTACAAGCTCTGGACGATGGCTGGCATGAGCTGCTACAGATGTGGGAGAACAGGCAGCAGCTACTCTCACAGTCCCTCAACCTTCAGGTACTCACTCTCTCAACTCATTGACACTGTCCCAGTTTAGATTTGAAAGGGTTTCTGAGTACAAAATGTAGAATACTGCCAACATTTTTATCCCATTACCAGATTCCTCATTTAGGGTTATTTACATATGCTCCTCTTCCTTGTCTTGTCTTGTGAAATTTGAGAGAAAAGGTCTCAAGGATGAGACTTGAATGTCAGATTTGGCATTCTGACCAGCCCTCTAACTTTTTGTCTCAGCTGTGTTACATATTTTGATCAGAAATCAATCATGATTGAATCCTTATATGCCCCTTATTATTACATTGTGTTAAAATCATTCCTACTGGAATTTTTTTTTTTTTTCAAATCAAAGAAAAAGTGGGGTACAGAAACATAATTTTTTTAAATGCAGCTAGAATACACTCTGTGTTTTTTTTTTGTGTTCTGTTTTCTTGATTGCATACTCTTGGATACTTTCAGATGTTCTTGCGAGACGCTAAGCAGGCTGAAGTGTTGCTCAATCAACAAGATAATTTCTTGTCCAAGGAGGATGTTCCTGTAAGTAACTTCAAGAATATATATGTGCTGAATATTGTCTCTGTCTTTAACACCTAAGGAATTCAGTAAAGAATTTAATTATGGTTTTTTTATCAGTCATATGGCATGAGTCGTTCAGAGCAATGCTTACGTTATTTCCAGGGTAATGTCTGCAGATTTTTTTGAAATGGCATTTCTAGCTAAAAAGCAGGTTGTTGAAAGCTGTCATAAAATCCCTTTGGAATAGGAAAATCAGTTTTTATATCCTTTTGTTTGGTTATTTCGCAGTTTTTTACTTATCATGAAATATTAATTACTTTATCATGACCACCACTCTTGTGATGTCTATTTCAATGTCTTTTAGAAAAATTTCCAAACTTAAATTTTCATATTCTTTCTAGTGATAGATTGCTATTTAAACTTGTGTTTTGTCTTGCTATGATTGTTTCAGGGAGTAAACAACATCCTTCTTGCACATTTGCATGCTCGTGATCCGTTGTCTGTTCCTTTAATTGACTCCACAAGGATGAGAGTAAATGACTTTTGACTATTTGAGTATATCAAACCACCAGTATATCATTAACAAAAATGCTGTGTATGGATACAACGCAATTCTATAAATATCACTAGGCTGGTATAGTAGATATGTACAGGACCTTGATATTTTACTTTTTTATTGGCGTCAGCTTTAATAAGCTTTGAATGGCTTTTAAATATACCAACTGCAGGGGAAGAACAAAATCCAAGAGGGTGACCTTAATGGAGAAAGCATATATGCTTGTAAAAAATGTATACTCCCTTCAAATTTGGGAAACATGTGCTCAATGCAAGGCTTTTTACATTTTTTAATTATTCACGTACCAAGCTATGCACTATTTTAAAAATTTTTTAAATTATGCACTTTACATTTCTTCTTGTAACATGTTTGCCTGTAGCGCATTCCACCATACCACAACTTTTGTTTTAGTAGGAGCTGGTGATGTGCTCTAAATTCAGGCTCAGGCTCACACAAGATTTGAGCATTCAGTTGGGTTGGAATGTTAGTCTAGTTTGGCTGCTGGAAGCTGCCTGGGGGTCAAATGTGCACTCAATTTCAGCATATCTGCACAATGATGATCCAGTTTAAGCGTTGTATCATTGTATAGAAATGGGCAAGTAACAAAACAAAAACAAAACTGATTCAGCAGTGTGAAGTCTTTCCAAAGCAACATGTACGCTCACTTAAAGCAAAATGCCTTCCTGAAAGATACTGGCTGTAAGATTTATAGCATGTTTGCCAGCAATTTTGGAACTTCATGGAATACTTCCAGAGTTATTAGTTTTGCATGCATTGTGAGGGCATAGTGTTTTAGTGGCCAATAACATTAGTCACTTGCTTTTTACCGAAGCCAATGTATCTGTCAAATAGAAACTTATCCCTGTTCCTATTGACACGCAAGGGTTTTTTTTTCCTGTCAAGATTTGTTTTAAGTAAGAATGACCTTTAAAAACATTTTACATGAATTTTCCCAATTTTGTCTTTGTCTGTGACTTGTACGTATACTATAAGACATTGACTAACGTAGAGGTGGAATTCCCTGGTGGCTTCCTCCATTGTTTTGTGTATAATGTGGTCATCGTTATATTTGTCCACTGGTCACTTTGACTAAGCGTAACATGTTTATGTCTCGTGGCCCTCATCCCAATGACAGATTGCGCCCTTAGATAAACAGGTAACTTAGTTTGTTCTCTTGTTATCTCCTCTGGATGTCTCAGTGTGCCAGCTGTTGGGTGTCTTGTACTTCCTGGTCTATTTTGTTTGTGCTTTCTCGTGTGTTAGGCGTCCTCTCTCTTCTTGTTTCTCCTCGTGTGATGCAAACTCCCCAGGAATCCATCGTAGCTACAAGTCTTCAGTTCCTGCTTTCGTTCTTGTGAAACCTGAACGCTGAGAATTTCTGTCCTCTTTATTTAGTTCCGTGTTGAGTTTTCATTCCAAAGTTTTGTCCCCATCTGTGTGACTGTAGAATATTGGGCTTCTGTATCTGATCTTATCTTCTGTTGATGAGGCTGACGTCTGTCTGCAAACTGTTACCCTGCAGCTGATTGTCTCATACACCCGATATACTGTGATATTGCTTTGCATGTTTCTGCTTTTGTAGAAGGGGATATGTGGGTGGTTAGAGTTAGAGGATTGGTCCTGCTCTTTTACTTTTCTTCTTGTTCCTGTCTGCCCGGCTCTTTCCCAGCACTAAATTACCATTTTGTGTTGATGTGCTTCTCTGTATTCAAAACTAAATTTTTCTTGTTTTTGAAATACCAGTATATCGTCGGAAGTCATGCTTTCTGTTCAGATCTGTACGTAACTACAGCCACAAACATAAATATAGACAGATTAGCCCGTGTACCTCTGTTGTAGTATAATATGAAGTATAATGTATTAGCACTATGTATTGTTCACAGCCTATATTCACTGTATGCTAACATTTGTTTGTTGTGTCACTGTCTTCTGAACGGGTGCTTGGAGGGTGAGGCTGTTCTGTATTCTCTTTTTTTCTCTCTCTCTGTTGTTGTCTGTCTGTCTATCTGTCTCCGCAGATTTTCTCCTGCTTAAAATGACTACAAGTGTGTCGATGTGCATATCTTTACAAAGAAAATATTGAAGTTTGTAACTTCGTCTTCATGAACTTAACCTGTAAAAAAAATTAGTTGATGGGTCCGTGGTTTGACTTTGTTCACATCTTTATCAGTTATTTGTGTTTAGTCTTGTTCTTTTAGTGTGCCTCTGTATTGTAATTCAACATGGTGACACATCTGTTCTGTTGAAACTGTTCACTGCCCGTGCTTAGTGATTTGGTTTAGTCTTTCTCTGCTGTATTTGATTTAAATGAGACTTGGAATAAAGCTCGTTTCCTCTTGTGATCTTTTTGGTATGGACAAGTTCAACAGTTTTTGGCTGCTGTCTGTCTAGTCTTAATTCCTTGTGTTTTACTTTGCTTGTGACTTGACATGTGCTTTGAGTTTATAGTACCTCTGATTCTGCCTATAGGCAGATGCTTGGAGAATGAGTTCTACTTCTTCACTTTCCCTCTTTTGTTTCTCTGTGCCTGTCTTTTTTGCAGATTGAAATGATCTTAATTGTTTCAATATGCTTCTCTTTACTCCAACTTCAGTTCTTCCTTCTGTCGCACAGGCTTTACTTTAAGCTTTGTGGGTTTGATGTTTGTGCGTATTAGTCACTGTTTTTTTCTGTTGGTCTGTCTAGAAATAGAAAGTTGATTTTACAAGACACTTCTCATTATCCTTGTCCAGTTGCTTCAAGCCTTTCCCTTGTCAGCCGCACATTCCATCTGTTCCATTTTCCGTGTTGTTTGTGTGGTGCTACATGTATTATAATTATCTTTTATTTATTTTTTTGTTGAAAATATTTGCTTCTTCAACAGTCTGGACTTTTCGTTTACCTCAATGTTTTATGTTTTTATGTATAGCAAGTGATGATTCTTGCATTCAGTTGACACACAGTTTGTAAAAAGATGCTGCACAAGCTATATTTCTTTTCCCCCTTTGTGAATGTGTTGGATGCACAAGATTATTGTAGTGACTAGCGGGACATCTTTTCACTTCTAATAAGTTGCAAATGGTCAACAAATTATTTGTTTCCCAAAGACGGTATTGATACAGGATTGGACAACTTGGAGTTAATAGTGCTGGTGACCTGTGTCAAGAAAAAGTTCTACAAAATTAAAGTGTTGGAGTGTCACGTATTTTTAAACAATAAATTGAGTGGTCCCCTTTGTCATAATTAGTATGTGCATGAAGATGGCTCTGTACTCTTTCTACACTGGGAGGTGTAGACCACAGTGAAGTCTCCACAGGCTTCCCTGTTACTGTGTATTGTTTCATGTAGGAAACTAGTAACGAGCACCTATTACGTATATACTTTGATAAACACTAGGCTCACTAAAGCTGTATCCAACATCGGTGGCAGTTTTGTACATTTACCATGGTAACCAAGAGAGTTGAGAATGCAAACAAATTATCAACTTAATACCAATATCATTTGATGTGAAAAGTTTATTTTTGTGAATTTTTGGCAACAGGGCTGTAAAAATATTTTTTAAAATATATATATAAAGCACAATTTCAAATTAGCATGGCTTTGAAGCAATTTCTATTGTCCTCTTATGCCACATCGTAGCACAGTTACAAACTAGGCTCTGAAATTAACAATGAAATTCTTTATGATTTGTCTTTAAAAAAATTAGCATTTAGTTTTTTATTGGAAAGGAAAAGAGTAAGGATATGTCAGCATTTGTTTTATCTGTAAACATTTTTCACCTTGACTCTTTAACTGATATCTTTCCCAAATGAGGCAAATATCAGATATCTTTTTTAAAACTCCCTGTGAGTGTCATGAATGTGTCTTTTTGTCACTTGTCCGAGAACCTTCAGGATGAAATACACGTGGTTCAGAACTTTTTGCGAATGGTATGATTCATTTTGTTTCTTCAGAGTTGTATTTTCACAACATGGTCATGGTCTGTCACATTCGAGCATTTTTCTTACCTCTTTGATGTTGTCTTTTATATCTTTATTGATGTTACAGCAACTGCTTTTTTTTTAGCCTTGCAGCCATCAGGGCACTTCTCTTCCACTGTATCCAGACAGACTATAATGCAGTTGTTGTATTTGTCGTGCAGACATCAGTGCAAGCAGCAGAGAACCTGATCAAACGTCATGAGGCCTTCATCACCACCATGGATGCCAACGACGAGAAGATCAACGCTGTTCTGCAGTTTGCCAACAGACTGATGGATGAGAACCACTATGCTGGAGAGAAAATACAGAAGAAGGCAGAGTCGATCAATGAGAGGTAGAGTGTGACACATGTCTGATTCACTGGTCTCTGTCAGATGAGAAAACTATATATTCTAATGCCGGGATCACTGTTCTGGCGTCCAGATTTTTCCTGAGATGTTGTAGATCTCAAGATTTTGTCTCAGAAGTGGGTCAACAACCACAGCAAGCTTTTATTTTAAGTGCTGCCTGAACATTTCTAACATATTTGTGAACAGAATTTCATTAATCTTTGTCCTTCTTTTTCATTTTCAATACCTGAAACGTATACTAGAAATCAGGGTTCTGCACTCATATGACCAACTTGTGTCTATAGCGCAATTATGTGAATGCTTAAACGAACAAAAAAACTGAAACAATGACATGTCTAAGAGAATAAGGGAATCCTATCTCATGGCAAAAGGATTCCTATGTCAAATTTAGTCGAATCAATAATTGTGTATGCAAGTCCAATTAGACCCGAAGTTTGTCATCAGTAGATAGTGCTCATGACTTTACTCCATTGCATTTTACAGCCTGTTTCTGATTTGATTGATTTTAATAACATAGTGTTATTAGAAGATCGTTGAATATAAGTTCAGGTTGCTCTTTGAATCTGATAAGCTTAAATAGAATGACTTGTTGTGTCCTTTAAAGTACTCTTTGGTGAATTTCAGATGGGTTTTGGTGGAAAGTAGATTTCAAGAGACAGCATTTTCTGTTCTATGTGTGTTTTATTCTTATCTGGTCTACCAAGCGGGTGGTTGGAGGGCATTACTGGTAGGTCCTATGTCTTTTCTTTCCTTTAGTGTTTTTGTCAATATGTTTTCCTCTTGTCCGTTGCCCTGCTCTAAATGACCATTATATTGTTGATGTTCATCTCTTTACTCAAATTGTCAACCATACCTTCATCCTGTTACTATTTTTGTCCACCAGGAGGGACCAAAACCGACAGAGAGCCGATGAACAGCTGGACAGATTGAAGGACCAACTGACCTTGCAGCAGTTCTTGCAGGAGTGTGATGAGGTCAGTGGCTCATTTACTTTTTTGTTTGGGGCGGGGGGAGTCATTGTGGGTGTTGGAGGGGGGACAATGAATTGTCTTACTTCCGTTCATTCCTTCTGTTGTTTCTCTCTGTCTGTCTTGCTCTTTTCCCACACAGTAGGTGACCATTATTGTGTTGATATATTTATCTTTACCGAAACAAGCAAACCACTCAGGTGGTAGATGGCGGGAGGGCATCAATAATAGGTCTTCTTTCCTTTCCCTCTGTTTCTCTGTCTGGCTTTCTATTTTTATGCACCATATGATGGTTATTGTCCTGATGTATTCTCTTTATTTGAAGAAACAAATAAACCACTCAATGGTGGCTCTTAGAGTCACAAGTTGACTGGCTGTTGGGTATTAGCATATGGGGGGGAGGGGGGGGGGGTTGCTACTTCTTGTCAGCCTTATTATTGACCTATTCCTGGCCAGATGTGGATATTGTCCTTCTGATTACCTGTGAAATACAACTGAACGAATTTAGTTTTGCGATCATATACTTGTGTGAGTGATAGGAAAGCACAGCAGATAGTTTGCATTGCAGGTGGTAGGAGGGGGCTACAAGTTGGACTTACTTCTTTCCTTTCGTCCCTATTTTTTTTCTCTGTCTCGTCAGTTTTGCTTTTTCCCTGCACTAAATGACTGTTATACTGTAATCCTATCAATGAACTTCTCTTCTCTAAAACTGGGCAAAAAAGAACTTTAATGAATGGTTCTGATTATTTAAAGTTTTTTTATTCATTGTTTGAACCTTGTGTTTGATTTGTTAGTTGCGTGACTGGCTGCAAGACAAAATGGCCGCCGCTCAGGATGAGACGTACAGAGATGCCAAGAATCTCCACAGCAAGTACGTACGTCACCAGGCCTTCGAGTCAGAGATTGCTGCCAACAAGGACAGACTCAACAGGGTTGTCGAGGTACGGGCTTCACTGTGTTTTGTTTTTCATGTGTTTCTGTAACAGGTTCTTTTTACGAGAGAGGTTTTTAGCCTCGTGATTCAACTCCCAACCTGGAGGGAGGATGACTCTGTTTTGGGAGTCTCTACTTGGTTCGCTATTTAGTCGCCTCGTACAATACGTTAGCACCACGTCAGTCTTGTTCTTCTCAATGAGGGGACTGCACGGCTTTGTTTTTCGTACTATTGTTATATTTCATACCTGAAAGTAGATCTCGGCTTTATTTTTCTTGCAATGGATCTGCACAAACTCACATACACAAATGACAGCGAGCGCATACACATAGACACACACACACACATGCGCGTGCGCGCGCGCACACACACACAGAGGGGATCACATCTTTTGTTTTTCTTTCTACCGTCAAGTTTCGTACCTGAAGGTGATTCTCAGCTTTGTTTTTCTTGCTATGAACATTCACACCCATGCATACGTCTATCTTACTTTTTCCCGACACTAAATGTTGTTTTGTCAATGTACTTCTTTGTACTGAAACAGAACCACAAATTTTTTTCCCCTTTGTTATATTTCTGTCTGTCATAACGCTTTTTCTGTACTATATGACTGTTATTGTGGTGATGTACTTCTCTTTACTTTGAAAAATACATAGTTCTCTGATGACAGATCATACACTTAATGTCTACTCTTATCAGAGGAAAAACCTTGGGCAGTATGAATAATAATAAAAGTCAGTGCATTTACTGTCAATTTTTACATGTGGTTGAGAGGCGCCACAAGTAGGTCTTATTTTTTTTCTTTCCCTCTTATGTTTATATCTGTCTGTCTTTTTCTTTCCCTGCACTAAATCACTAAATAACTGTTGTTGTGCCAATATACTTCTCTTCTCTGAAACAAAAAAATTATAATGTCAACTCTTTGTTCTCCTTGTCCTGCCGCTGGGTTTAGGAAGGAGAAACCATCATGTCATCCAAGCCCGAGACGAGAGAACAGATTGAGCCCATGCTGTCTGAGCTGTCCACACAATGGGAGGACCTGGAGACCACCACCAAAGAGAAGGGAGAGCGTCTGTTTGACGCTAACCGCTCCACCCTATACCAGCAAAGCTGTGATGATGTGGACGGCTGGGTCACCGCCCTTGAGTCTCAGATCGTCACATCCGAGGACTTTGGCAAGGATCTTACCACTGTCAACTTGCAAGTGCAGAAACAGAATGTGAGTTGTTAATGTTTGTCCCAGTGTGGACGTGGACCTTTTTGAGAACTGCACTTTTTTGTAATTCTTTTGATTGTTAGTAGTCTTTTCAGCCCGTCTTGAGAATTGTTAAGCATTTTAGCTCTGACTTTATTTTATTTCCCATTATAATAATGTTACCAGCCAGCCCTCATGAAAAATGCTTTTAAAATTCAATTTCGAGCTCAAAGTGAGTGGTTGGTTTTCTTAGATATAAGCCAGTTTGGGTGCATGCATTTGTTGCAACAATGACAGTGCATCAAATTCACATTCATGAATGTCCCTTTTCAATAATTATTTTTACATCGTAAGACCAAAATTGTGTTCATTATGCTGCAAAACATCTAATCAAACAAATAAAATAATTTTATATAGTAGGTGTAGATTTGTTGCTATGGACGACAGTATTGTGGAGTTTTTACATTGGTGTGTGTTTGTCCTCAGCATTTGGAGAACCAGATGAAGATGAAGGAGCAACAGGTCCAGGAGCTAGAGAGCCAGAGCGAACATCTACGCCGTCTGGAGCCTGATAGAGAGGAGGAGATCGAGGCCAGGAGAGCACTGGTGGCTCAGAGGTGTGTAGTTTCAGTCTCCTTTTATACTTAAGTGGAAGGGTGTCCGAGTCTCTTCTGTCTTTTATAAATAAAAAGTAAATAACAACCAGTTACATGCCCATAGTTCAAAAGTTTTAGTGGTTTTAATTGATCTCTAGTTCTGATGACAGTTTTTAAAATAATGTAGTGAACTCCATATTTTTCTGTGTATAGTGGGGATGGTTGAAGGGCAACACTAGTAGGCTGCACTTCTTTTCTCTCCCACTGTTGTTTCTGTCTGTCCATCTTGCTCTTTCTTGGCACTAAATTGCTGTAATTGTATTTGTGTGCTTCTTTTTACTAAATTCAAACTGGAAATCCCTGCAGGTTTGCAAAGATCCAAGGTCCTCTGATGATGCGACGTGCCAACCTGGAGAAGGTGAAACGCATCCATCAGTTCATGCGAGACGTTGAGGACGAGAAGTTGTGGATTGAAGAGATGATGCCCAGAGCCACCAGTACAGACTACGGCAACAGTCTACTCAGTGTGCAACTGCTCATCAAGAAAAACCATGTGAGTTCTCTCTTGTCTTAGCAATTATTAAATTTTCCCCATAGAAATTAAATTTACACCCACCCACCCCACACACACACACATACCAAGTGTTTTACCAATTTTATTTGGTCTCAGGGACCCATGTGGACCTTGGGCTGAAGAGATATTCCTTTTTTGATTGAATTTGATAAAATTTGTTGTATTCTTTCTAGAAATTGAAATAGAAAGATTGACATTAACAGACATGATAACTGGTGCTCTGGTTCACATTTGTTTATTTGAGCTATGTTCATGGCCTCAGGGAATTTGATCTCTCTTTTGCTTGCACAAACTACTATATAGTTCAACCCTTGAAAGCAGAGTTGTCCCAAGTGCCAACATTTAAGAAATGCATGAATAGTATGGTGAAAATTTTACCACAGTGAATTGTACTTCTTTTAATGGTAGATGTATCGGTAAAACCATGAGAAGAAAAATTTTTAATGATTATTATTGTTAATTTTTTTAAAGCCAAAATTTTAGATCCCAAGTTTCTCGAATAATGAAAACAGCTCTGAAAACAATTTGTTTTGGTGGGTCAAATATGGTCAGATGGTGAGGGGTTTTTTTCAAGATGATATCATCATGTCTTTTGTCTGTTGTTTCTTCCAGTCATTGCAAGTGGAGATTGACAATCATGAGCCTCGCATCAAGAGTGTGGTCCAGGTTGGTCAGGAGCTGATCGATGCCGGTCACTCCCAATCGGAGGAGTTCCGCGCCCTCATCGAGGACTTGCTGCAACGCTGGCAGGAGCTGAAGGACGCCATCGACGCTCGTAACCAGAGGCTCAAACTGTCGGAGATTGCACAGCAGGTTAGTGTCAACGTTATAGGAATGAGTACTACTTCAAAGATTCAATACTGTGTTGTTAGCTTAAGGAACAGATCTTCTGTCTTCTACTTCTCCTCCTCCTTCTTTTCCTTCTGAAGCGTCTGATTTGAAACCACTTCAATGATCATGGTTTGCCACTTTTTTTTTACTGTGTGCGCCTTTATGTGGCGCCCCCCCCCCCTCCCCAAAACCTGTTGTGTCCTTGTCTTTTCGCATCACCCATCTGATCAAGTAAGTTTTATTTGGTCTACCTCTGCCTCTTTTGCCTTGCTTTTTATAGAACATATGAAGATTGTTAAAGATATGCCAGTTTTCACCTGCTCCAGCATTTATCTGTTGATCAGACAATTTCAGTTACCCCTTTCCATGTCTCAGGCAAACGATTTCTGTGCTTGGCTAGTCCTGTGAACAACTCGTTTACCTCTCTTTTAAACTTTGCTCACATATTATGAGATGTTCTAAACTTCTCTGTGCTCAAGCTCAACCTCTTTTCTCCAAACAGCTTGTAATTTCCAAACTATGTAGTTATATATTAATGTTAAGTCCCTTCCATATCTCAGGCCAACCGTTTCTGTGCTTGTAAAAGACAAATCAGACTTTTTTGTACTCAAACTCAACCTCTTTTCTTGAAATGACTTGAAATTTCCAAACTGTGTATTAATGTAATTGTGTGATGTCCCCAGTACTACTTCGATGCCGCGGAGGCTGAGGCTTGGATGAGTGAGCAGGAGCTGTACATGATGGGTGAGGAGCGGGCCAAGGATGAGATAGGGGCACAGAACATGATGAAGAAACACCAGACGCTGGAGAACAATGTGGAGGACTATGCCGAGGTGGTCAGACAGCTGGGAGAGAGGAGCCGGGAGCTGATGGAAGAGGAACACCCAGAGAGGTCAGTTGGATGCTCCTAGCTGTGTTTGTTTTTTTGTTTTATGCAAATGGCACAAGTTACATCAATTTTGGATTGCATTTGATCCTTCCTGACCCAATTTAGATCACTGGGGGAAGGGGGGGAGCCTAGGGGGGGCCCTGCTTGTCACAGCGAATATGGGCTGAATAAATTGGATACAACATCCCAGCAAACATGTGGAGTCACTAAAGGAAAAATACTTTTTGCCAATGTTGATTAACAATTTTTCTCCTCCTCTGTCTACATAATTACTTAAAAGAAATTTTTTTATTAATATAATGATAATTCTGAGTTTTTTCAACCTCTATGCTGTTTACTGACCCGATAGATATTTTATCATATAAAGAGGAAAGTGTTATTGACATTGATCATTGTAATGATTGTCACAGGTGGTTAAAGGGTTGGGGGTTGTTTTTTTTTACCTTCTGCTGTGTCTGTTTGATTGTCTGATTTCTCCCAGCACGAAATTACTGTTATTTTTGTTTAGATGTGTTTCTTTTCAATTTAACTGACAATTGTCATCCTTATGTGTCCATGTTCAGCGACCAGATTGCGGTGCGTCAGTCACAAGTAGACAAATTCTACGCCGGCCTCAAGGACCTGGCCCAGGAAAGGCGGGGCAAGCTGGAGGAAGTGTTCAAACTCTACACCCTCCACCGCGAGATCGACGACCTGCTGGAATGGATCGCAGACAAATCGGCTGTGGCTGGCTCCAACGAACCAGGACAGGACTACGAACATGTCTCTGTGAGTGGGGCGATGACGTTATGCTTTAAGCGTGTAAATGGAAGAAATGGGTCTATTCTTCTTCTTCTTCTTTCTTTTTTTTTTGGTTCTATAACCATTGGAGTGTTCAATCTGCGGGTCTTCAATAAAAACAGGAGTCAGCATATACGCATATACTAATAAATATTTTTAAAGTACTGTGGGCTAACTTTTATGTCTTCTCCCATCATTTAAATCAGAATGGGATTTTTTGGTGAGAATTCACTTGTAACAATTTCTTCAGTGATACTGTAATGCTTTCCTTGTATTTAATAGCATTTGGATTTCAGAAGGCCTGTAGCTTTAATTTTGTGATGGACATGTGTCATGCTGACAGCAGGTATTATTTATTATCTTTACAAATTTGTTTACTTAATGTTCTACTTTCTATTCATGTGTGTAATATTTCTTTCTTGTTTGATCAGATGTTGAAAGAGCGCTTCAAGGAGTTTGCCAGGGACACGGAAAACATTGGTCACGAGCGTGTGGCTTCGGCCAATGAGATCTGTGATGATCTGATCGCATCAGAACACTCTGATGCTGCGTCTATTGCCGAGTGGAAGGACAACGTGAACGATGCCTGGGCTGACTTACTGGAGCTCATCGACACACGCACAGAGCTGCTGCAGACATCCTGGGAGCTGCACAAGTTCTTCTACGACTGCAAAGATACTCTGGAGAGAATTGTGGTATGAAGAGATTGTTGTTACAAATTCATTGGGGTGGGTGGTATGTCCGTTTTTGAAGAATTAACAAGAACTTTAAAACCGCAGCAAGGGTGTGTGTGTGTGTGTGTGTGTGTGTGGGAAGGGGGGGATTATTATTATAGCCATTGAGCAGTTGGTAGTTTGCCTTTATAGCACCCAAGTGAGTGTTTCTAACAAGGTATGTTTTTTT